TTAAGAAAAAAGAAGACAAGAACGAGAGATGGAGAAAGAAAACCGGGGAAGAAAAGACAAATAAACGTCTTTCCAACCGGAATATAGTTCATACATTTTATTGGCAATAAAAAAAAAGTTTAAAACAAAATACAGTAAGAGCTACTGCAACAAGCAAAGCAACAATGAACACCTGAAAACACATCACGTACAGAAAATAGAGAAAGCGTGAACGGAAATATTAAAAGAACATGGCAGTCAATATTTCTTTGATCCGAAAACTTTTTATTCCTACAAAGACCAAAGGTTGTGCCTGTGGAGTGGTCAAGAGGATAGTGAAAGAGAATAGTTCTTTCTTGAATCAGGTGACCTCATTCGCCTGAAGTACCATAGTGCCGAATCTAAGAGACTTTCCCCTGGAACGACAGTCATGATTTCGTCTGCCCTAAGATTTTAACGAAGAAGAGATGAAAGAAAGTATTGCAACGCTGCAATTCCATCGTTGACTTAAAAAAAAAAGATGCTATAAGTAGGTACGAGATTTTGTTTTGTTCATCTGAGAATAATAAAACAGATTTGAAACCAAAAAATCTCTCACATAATTTCTGTGGTTTCCAAAAGATTGCAACGAAGCAATTCCTTCGATAACTTTTATTCAAATAACACTTTAAGTACGTAGGAGATTTTGTTTTGTTCATCTGAGAATATTAAAACAAATTTGAAACTAAAATATTTATCACATAATTTCTGTAGTTTTCAAAAGATTGTAACGGCGCAATTCCTTCGAGGACTTAAAAAACGATTATGTAGACAACTTGTTTGTTCATTTTAAATTAATAAAAGGATTTGAAACTAAAAAGAGGTGGGTTTATACTTTTCCCAACGTGAGTGAATATAACGAACCCAATTTAGATTCGAGTTTGTCTCTTTGATTTTTTATTTCAGGCCGTTATCCGCTACCCCAGTAGCACATTCCAGAACCTGTTATTCGCGAACGGTCACCCATCAAATTACAGACCAGGTTCAACGGTGTTTCAACGTAGTATGGCTGCCATTCATTTGTCGCAGGACCTGATGGTTGGAGCATATTTGTCTGTTTCAAACTGGTTACCATGACTCTATATGCTCTTTCTCCTAAGTTCGTTCGGCATAGTCATATGACAGTAAATAGGAAACTTGAGGCAACAGAAGGATGCTGAGAATAATATGGACGAAAAAAGGTGAGCAGGGAAGAACCCTTAAGGAAAACGGAAAGAAAAAGGTCGCTTATACTTAGAATCGGAAAGAGACTATTGAAAGATATATAATGAGAGAAGAGGGCTTGGAGAATTTGACACTCACACGAATGAAAACTGCGAAAGCCGAGTTCGCAGTTGGAAAGGTATCAATCCCTCACCTTCCGACAATTATGGGTTAAACAGTATTCCTTATATATAGAAAAGCTAATGTTTTTCACAAAATACCCTTAATGCAATATTCTCTAGAAAAAAATCTTACAATCGAAATTATGTTTCAGCTTTTAACCGCCAAAAAGATTTATAAATCGTAAAACAAAACAAAACAAAAAAAAAAAAACAATTATATCATTCAACTGATCGCCTTTCTTCTTCATCTACTCTGTTTTTTTGTTATAACATAATTCAGCCATACCATTAACATTACTAGCAATGAATAAGGACCCAGAAAATATTTAATTTGATGTTCTTGCCTTCTTTAGGTCTAGAGTGGATAAAACGTGAGTTATCTGCGAAGATATTTTCTCTCTTCTATTTTCCAGTCACGACTTACACAGTCTGGGTGTTTTTCGTTAATGGAACGGCTTTCATTTCGAACACTTTAGGAATCCATGTTTAGAGTCTCCAATCTATTAATGTTCACCCGCGTCATCTTCTTTCCCACGAGAATGTCCCTGAAATATGAAAGTCTTTCAGCTTTCAGAGGTTATCGGTCAGTGGAATCGTTTTTTAAATACGAGAATTTTTTTCTTCAAAACGCTAACGCGTTAAAATCATCATGGGTATTTAGTATTGTTGAAGTTATCGTTAACATTCTTTTGTCAAGATTTACAAGCTCTCCGTTTTGCTAACCAATCGATAAAATTTGAAAAAGCTGATTTACTTCGAAAATACTTTGAGAAAAAATGTAATTCGCGGCTTAATAATTTCTTTAATTTAATTCTATAGGACTTCATGGTAAACAATATTTTTTAAGAAAATTTATTTTTTCCTTTTTTAATATCGAAGAATAAATTCTAAGGATTTCGTATTCTTGAGCATGCAACATACAACTGGCCATGCGTAAATATTTCTTTCTGAAACCAAATCCCAACTTGGCTGTGTGATTTGTTTACAGTTTTTGGAAACGCAGGACGAACTGGAAATTGATTCATATATATGGAAAAACTTAAAGATATGCAAAAAAAAAAAATAAAAAATAACTTACAAACATGGTCAACAAATTGTTGACGTTAATTTTATTGAGTATTGGCGCTTTCTTTTTTTTATTATTACGGCTTCTATTATTTTAAACTTTTTTTAAAATATAAAGATGGTGTTATTACGTTTGTATTTTCTATTAGTATGTTTTAGGATTGAGTCTGTTAGGATTTTATATTATATTCTTGCTTGCTGGATATTGAGATCTACCTGGATTCTCTACTCATGGAAATTTATATATATATATATATATATATATATATATATATATTGATCACTAACAGTATCTATCTATCTATATCTATATCTATATATCTATCTATCTATCTATCTATATATATATATATATATATATATATATATATATATATATATATATATATAAAAAAAGCTTAAACACTAATATTCCATGGTCATAATTTATTCCATTGGAACCGTAAATACGATCCAATTCATCAGACCTACAAATTCAAAAAAGAAAACAGAAAAAAACAACCCCGGAAATAAAAACAGAATTTAGAGAGAGTGTAAGTATGAGGGGGAGGGAGATTAAACCTTAACAGAGAGAATTTTAGGAGAGATGGGTGGAAGGGGTTTAAGTAAGAGAAAAATGAATGTTGTCGGATGTATAAAGATACATTTCGTGGTGACATACACACACCATAGACAATTTAATGTTAGAATAAGAGGGAGGGAAAGACGAGGTGGGAGAGACAGATGGGGCGGGGGAAAGTGAAATTGCGTTTACTTAAAGGGCCGCTTTGTAATTGAGAAAATTTGACAAATTTAATATCGACTACAGGTTACAAATCAAATATAAACATATATAAAATATATATATATATATATATATATATATATATATATATATATATATATATATATATATATATATATTGTTACGTGTTGATAATTGTAACAAAGGAAAAAAATGATTTACCACAACACAGAGCTAAATCACAAACAAATATTTAATTTACTAAAACAGAACATAAAATATATACAGGATAAACAATTGTGGCCTACAAAACAGAAAACAAAGAGTTACTGGCGGAGTGTTACGAGGAAGAAGGAAAGGGAATCATATATCTTTATCACTTAGTTTAGGGCTAGTGAAGTAATCTAAGTGCTATATTTGGAAATCCACAAAGGTGTGTAAATAAATATTAATTTTTAGTTTGGTCAATGAAAATTAGTCAAAATTCTATTTACCAACTTTGTTCCATGAAATTCTCTTTTGGGTTTTGGTTGGTCGGCAACTTTTTATAGAGATTCTTTCGGCTGGATATAAAAGTCCTTGAATCAAAAGCCGGAGTTGATAACAGCAGAAATTTTCATTCATCAACTGACAACCCTTTTCCAAAATCCCATTTTTATAGGGGCTAACACCTAATTGGCATATTTCTAGATGTTTCTCGAATCATCTAGATTTTTCTCGAATATACTAGAATGATCTAGAATCTTCCAAACATTCTATTTCTAATTTCTATTTTACAACTACTTCATGAATGAAAACTTTTTTGTAATAACAAGTAGAACTCAAAGGAATCCTTTATTATAGAAATGCATCCTCGTAACAATATATACATATATATATATATATATATATATATATATATATATATATATATATATATATATATATATATAATCACTGAATCGGCATTTGTGGCTTTAACAATCAAATATGCCTGCTGTTCCACACTTTGGAGAAAGTTGAAATTCTATCTTTACCAATAATCAAATTAAGGCTGCGATTATTTCTTCATGGATATAGAAGCGTCCTCAGAACACAGACAGAGAAATTACGGTTTTCTTTCACTGTGTTATTAGGTTAACTTTGATAGTTGCAAAATCTGGTGCATTCATGTTCAGACAACGCATTATATATGGTTAGATGCGACGGAGTCTTTATCAGTACGACTTAAACAGTCTACGAGTCGAAGCGTTGAAATATCAATTTTTATTCATACTAACTAGACGAATATCCGCCCAACAAAACAGAGAAATGTCAAATTGTCACAGAATTTTTCTTTACTCTCTAAATTTACTGCAGTAACCAAAGTTTAGTAAGACGTCTAGGTTCTAACTATATTTTTGTCATTTAGCTAAGTTCACTGGAATTTCTAACTCACGCCAGAACTGCATAGAGCTGATCGGGAGAATATTATTTAAAGATTTTCCAAATGGATATATTACTACTAATAATAAAAATGGCAACAACTAATTCAACAAACTTAAACTGTTTTCACTTGTTCCAAAAAATCGGTTCATTTGTAAGAAAATTGAAGTAAACAGCATTTTATTTATTTGGAAAATCCAATAAATGTTTTTCGGCTTTATTAAATTAATTGGCAGTAATATGAGATAGCAGATGACAACAACGCTTATTATGAACGCTGTAAGTTTTCTAACTTTCAACTGAAATTTGACATGGCAGATATACGTTTTTCTAGAAAAAGCGCAGTCCTGTCTTAAGACCCTGAAGGCTCATTAATTAAAAATAGACGCAGAGTGCTCATTAATTAAAAGGCATTTTTACACATTGTTCCGAAATAGATATATAGATACATAGGTATGAAGAGGCTACGAGATAGATAGATAGATAGATAGATAGATAGATAGATAGATAGATAGATAGATAGAAAGAAATGTACAAGCTACGAAATAGAGAGATAACTAGAAGCTACGCAATAGACTGATAGAAAGACATGTACAGGCTACGAAATAGATAGATAGATAGATAGATAGATAGATAGATAGATAGATAGATAGTAAATTTAGCCCTTTCCTTATGTGAAAAGAATCGGCATTCCTTGGCAGAGCAGGCAGTGGAACTTTCGTTTGAGATATATATATAGGTTAATTTATATAGGTTACTTTTATTTATTTTGAGGCACTGATAGGGGTTTCCGCCCTAAACGTTGGTTTGTAGCAATGTGAACCACCGACAACTTGATTCTACCATTTGTTAACTTCCAGATACATGTGCTCTCCATTTTAGTTTTTGAAGTTCTTGGAAATCCTAGCGTTGCCATTTTTCTTTTATTTGTTAGAGTTTGGGAACATTGTATATGATTGTGTAGTACCAGTTCAAAAAGTTCGAATGAACACGCCGGACCTTAAAGAGGGGGGGCCATTCGCTCGAAACGTTTTTAATCATTGAGGGAGATAAATAGATAAATCTGAAAAGACTTCATATATATATTAGCCGGGCTAAATCATAAATTTAGCAATATATAATAGTAACAATATATAACTCAACAAATCAAAACCTACCCACATTTCTCACCCACACAAGACAGACATGCTTACGGAGGAATGGAGGCCTCACACTTATACACTCACCCACACGATTATACACATGTACACACACCATACTCACTCACCCTAATGAGCCAAATGATAACACACCTACAGCAATACACACGCTTACATCCTCATACTCACTCACCCCTAAGAACCAAATAACACACACACAAACACTAAACAGAGACACATCCCCTCACCAGGTCCAATAAAACTGTCAAACTGACCAGAGAATTCAGGATAAAATGTATCTATCCAGTTCTTATCTCAAATAACAACTTAAAAGAGACTGTTTGACCAACACAAGGAATGTTAAAAAGATTCATGTTAAAAAGATAAGAAAATAAAAACAAATGAAAACTACAGACAAATGTTCATTTTCTCCAACAAAAGACATTCATTTCTGTAGTTCACAGCTAACAGCAAGCAGAAATATTTCTCCTCCCGATGATGGCCATTTCGGTCGAAACTAGTCGAGGAATCTAAATGGAATAATAATAATAAAAAACGAAAGAATATTAATCTACAACCCAGTGTGTCTAATGATTTAATTTTTTATTTTCTTATTGTTCAATATATATTATATATATATATATATATATATATATATATATATATATATATATATATATATATATATATATACAGTGGGGAAAATAAATATTCGTACACTTGAAAAATTGTATTTTCATAAATGTAAAAGCATTAAATAAAACAAATCTTGGCACATTTTGTATAAAGACACATACTATTAAAAAATAATAATACACTTCATTCTTATTCTAACAGAAATTAATGGATTTTTTAAATTCTAACTGGTGAAGGAAGTATCCGTACAAATCAATTATTAGAATAAAATAATCAGTTAATTATGAAAAAAGTATATTTTCGAATGTTCCAGTAATGTTATCAGTAAATATAGTTAACGCTATTAGACATTATCAGAGCATTCTGCAATTTCTAGTCTTACGAGAGGGTTCTAATAATGCCTAAAGGTAAAGAATTGACTATTTCACAAAAACAACACATTTTGTCTCTTTGGAAAGATGGGAACAGTTACAGAACGATTTCTAACAACCTGAATATTCCTTTTACTACAATTGTTTTGTTCATTGCAAGGTTTAAAACTCGTAACAGTGTCGAAAACCAAAGACGAACAGGGGCTCCGAGGATGATTTCTCTAAGATCAGCAAAGATATTAAGACGCCAGATCCAAGAAAATCCACAGGTTACCCGAGAAGAGCTGCAGGAACATCTGCATTCATTAGGGATTAAAGTAACCAAGCGTACAATAAGTAATGAACTACACAAAAACTGTCTGAAATCACGCATCCCAAGGAAAACTCCACTCCTCTTGAAACGACACACAGATGCTAGGCTAAAATTCGTTAGAGAGCATAAGGATAAAAAATATTCATTTTGGGCAAAAGTACTATGGACATATGAAACTAAAATAGAGTTGTTTGGTCATAATTGTCGAAATCGTGTGTGGAGGAAGGATGGTGAAGCCTACTTACCAAAGAACACGTTGCCAACTTTAAAGTTTGGTGGTGGCAGTATCATGATCTGGGGCTGTTTTTCTGCAAAAGGTGTTGGCAGAATATCAATAATAGATGGGAAGATGAATGCCGAAAGATACCAGAAAATCCTGCAAGAAAATTTAATGCGTTCTGTTGATAGACTTCGGCTACCTCCTGATTGGGTTTTCCAAGTGGATAATGATCCTAAGCATACCGCTAGATCTACAAGGAAATGATTAGCTGAAAGTAACATTGATGTCTTGCAATGGCCAAGTTAGTCCCCAGACTTGAACCCAATAGAGAATTTATGGTGATATTTGAAAATTCAAATTGGGAAAAGATCACCAGCAAATATCAAGAATTTGAAGACAATAAGCGAAGAAGAATCGGACAAAATACCACGCAATGTATACAAATCATTAGTTGAGACGTACAGGAATAGACTGGTAGCTGTTGAACTCAATAAAGGATATTCCACAATGTATTAAATTAAGTTAAAATGTTTTTTTTTTTTTTTTGTACGATTACTTTTTTCATCAGTTAAAATGAAAAAAATGCATTAATTTCTGTTAGAATAAGAATTAATTAAGTTTATTACTATTTTTTAATAAAATGTATCTTTACACATAAAATGTATCAAAACTTGTTTGAGTTAAGGCTTTTACATTTATAAAAATACATTTTTTCATGTGTCCGAATATTTATTTCCCCCAACTATATATATATATATATATATATATATATATATATATATCTGCGCGTGTGTGTGTGTATATTTACAGAGAGAGACAGAAAGAGAGAGAGAGAGAGAGTGAAAGAGAGACAGAGATGAAAAGAATCAAATTAATACATAGATCTTAATAAAATGAGATAGATAGACACATAGATATGAATAAACTGGCATAGATACTCAAATAGATATATTGATAGATACTCAGATAGATACATAGATATGAATATACTCAAACATGAACATACTCAGATATATATATATGAATATATATATATATATATATATATAGATAGATAGATAGATAGATAGATAGATAGATAGATATGAGCTTACTCAGAAAGACAGATATAAAGATAGATCGAAACAGTTCGAAATATACAGAAAGAGATCGAAATAGGCAGATAAATAGATACTGAATAGACTCAGGTACTAAGAAACATATTAAATAGACTCAGATTGATCGATCGATCGATCAATCGATCGCTTGATAGATAGATAGATAGATAGATAGATAGATAGATAGATAGATAGATAGATAGATGCAGAATAGACTCAAATTGATAGATACTGAATAGACTCAGGTACTAAGAAACATATTAAATAGACTCAGATTGATCGATCGATCGATCAATCGATCCCTTGATAGATAGATAGATATAGATACATAGATAGATAGATGCAGAATAGATTCAAATTGATAGATACTGAATAGACTCAGGTACGAAGACACATTAAATACTCAGATCGATCGATCGATCGATCGATCGATAAATAGATAGATAGATGTTAATGATAATGTTAATATTAACCGTTTTCTTATAAGGACGTTTCCAGAATCCGTTTCCTTATAAGGACATTGCTACTTATGGATTAACTTTAGAAAATTTTTCCATTAAAATAATTTTTCGCGTATATGGATTCTCAAGTCCTGTAATTTTTAAGGAGCTTTCCAGTGTTAATGAGGACTTCCTTCGCAAACTATTTTTGAATTTGTGTGAAACATTTTAGTGGTTACTACTGTTGAAATTCATCAAGTTTCTTTTAATCAGAATCACCCAAGCAAGAAAGTAAAGATACTAAAGCCCAAGAGGTTACAGGGTGTGGAAGAATCAGGAACAGAAACATTGATAATGATCAGAAAGAGGAGAGATGAATCGGGAGGACAATATATAGCGATTGACATTGCATTTAAATATTTGCCGATTAATGTTGGCTGGAAAGCATAGAAGTCGGAGTGAGTTCCACAAGCGTGAGAGAAGGAACTGATTTACGGCTACATCGTGCCAGCTCAAGCTAGTCTCATTCTTCGCTTAAAATCAAAAACTTTAGGTACAATAGCGAAGAGCTCATTAGAACAATTACCATGAAAATATTTATAGAAAAGGCATAGTGAGGCAACCTTACGGCGGTGAGAAAATGACGAGCTGAGCCGGCAGATCAGGACCAATAATATTGCAGATTCTTCTTTGGGGAAGAAAAAAGTGTGTGGAGGAAGGACGGTGGAGCCTACTTACCATCAAAGAGCTCAAAGTAAATAGCAGGGACTCCGGACCATATGCGGCAGCTATATTCTAAGCATGGGCGAAGGGCAGACTTATTTATATGTAAGATAGATTCTGGAGAGAAAAAAGTCTCTCACCCTACATAGTGAAGTGACGTTCTTAGTGGTTGATGTGGTTGTTGTAATTTTTTGAAATTTACTTCTATAAAAAGAACGCAATAGAGTCAAGACTGTAAAATTAGCGCCAAGATGAAATACTACAGAGAAAATTCGCGTGAAATGAAGTTTGTCCTGAACAGTTTCTCTTCCCGTCACTTCCATACGAAAGCTGGTGTTCCTCAAGGCTATTTCCTTGGTTATACACTATTTCTGATTTGTATCAATGATTTTTCTGACGTCATCAGTTCTCAGGTCGCCATCTACGCAGACGACACTAACGTTTGCTCTTGTCTCAATAGTAAATCCGACATTACTGTCAAAGTTAACCAGACTGTCAGTCTTGAAAATGGCCTTCAATCTGAGATGGATTGGGGCAGGAAATATCTTGTGAATTTTAATTGAATCCAAAACGAAACTGCTTTTATTTTTTCACCCGGCCTCCTATCAGCATGGTTGATGATCAGCTGAACGAGAGCATCTCTCTACGCCTTCTTGGTCTCAGGTTTTCCACTGAGCTTAGGTGGAACAACTACATTGAATCAATTGCTGCATCTACTGCAAGGAAATTTGGTCCTCTGTGTCGCGCCAGAAGGTTTTTTTTCTCTCGTCTGAGTCCATACATCGCATCTACCATTCGTCCATGTATGGAATACTGTCACCAAAATCCAAAGACGGGCTTGCAATGTGACGTAATGCCGCTTCACTTTGTCTTTTCTAGAAATATTTTCATGACATCTGCTTTGACAAGATGGTGCCCCGATTGATGGGGTCGCATGTGGCACAAGGCCGAGTTATAAAAATATAGCCTTCGGTTCGCCTAGGCGAGTTCGAGAGCTGTCATAACCTCTCTGAACGAAACCTTGCCCTTCGGCAAAGCTTCGTCCGGGTTCCTCTCTGCTAATGCAGAGAGTTTGACAGACGGCGTGGACTGTAACTTAATGCAGCTACAAATGCTAATTTAAATGCTAATTTAAGTGTGCTACTAGGTTGGCGTCTCACTCCCCCCCCTTTTCTACCGAAACAGTTAAATGCAACCGGCTCTTCTTCTCCAACAGCTTCTCTCGCTCTTCCCGACAGAGGAACTCCCTTCCTCTTACTTGCTCCCCTGAGAACTATAATCTTTAAAAATTTAAATGTAATGTCAATCGACATCTTCTGATGCCTTGATCTCCGTTCGTCTTTTTATCCTTTCCTCAACCCCCACCTATACCCAGTCTTTTCCCTTACTTTCACTCATTGTAGCTCCTTGCGTACTAGTGGCACTCCCGTCTTGTGTGGGGTGAAATGCTTAAAAAATGATTTCAAGGAGATCAACTCTCGGAAAGCATAACTACCAATTAGCTTAAAGAAGCAATAATAGATCAAACAAGAAGCGCAAAGCTGTAAATGCCGGCGTGAAGAACGTACGACAGAAGAAATTAATTTTAAAAATAATAACTCCAGAAATGTAAGATGCCACGATAATGGTGATAATAGTGATGAGAGAAACATAACTGCCGTATTATTGATGCTCCCATCAGTTACGTGCCATGCGTGATACACACTTAGGCAATCATGTATCTTTCAATACATGACTGACGAGGCAGATTTTTTTTTTTCCAGCGATAGGTGGCATTTCTCTCTGCGGTATACCAGTTGCCATCTAAGGCTATAGAACTCATTCTGTCCGGCTGGTGGAAAAGAAGAGGATTCATACTTTTCTAAAGGGTATTAGCACGTAAGTGAATGGATTGGATTCGAGTGGAATTCGAACTCGGCTCTCCGATTCCTCGGCGCTCAGTGATCCGTTATTTTTGCCTGTAAAGTTTTGATTTCGGCGAATAAACAAAAACAGAAAGATTTTAAATTCATACATCATTTTCAGAAAAACGTCTTAAGAAAGAACGGATTTAATAATATACATGACAATTCGCAGATAGTCATAAAAAAGTGACTTCCTCTCTTTTAAAAATACAAAAATGTCTTCAATAAGTTACAGAATTTTTTTGTAGCTTGCTATTGTGTGAAAGAGTGTCATGAACTTTTCATAGAACGCAACAGTCAGTCAGTTATGTGCCATACATGATACACACTTAGGCAATCATGTATCTTTCGATACATGACTGACCAGGCAGATTTTTCCCGCAGTAAGTTGTCATTTCTTTTTGCGGTAGACCAGTAGTCATCCAAGGCTATAGAACTCGATCTGTCCTGTTATTTAACCAGAGTTGGGGAGAGAAGGAGAAGATTCATACCTTTCCTAATTAACACGTAAGTGAATGTGTTGGATTCGACTGGAATTCGAACTCGGCTTTCGATTCCTCAATCAGAGCCACTATCCATTACTCTACCGCGCCTCCTCTGATAGCAAATAGATAGATAGATAGATAGATAGATAGATAGATAGATAGATAGATAGATAGATAGATAGATAGATAGATAGGAACAGAACTAGATAGATAGATAGATAGATAGATAGATAGATAGATTCTGAATAAACTCAGACCAAATAACAGAAATATATAGGAAACATGGACATTGAGAATATTTCAAAATACGCTGATTGAGATGGCAAGATTGTTTGAAATTCAGGATGGGAATGTCAAAGCGATTCCTTTTTTTGATTGGCGAATTCGGACCAATCCCCTCAAAGCTATATGGCTTCCTTGACCAGCTGGGGATATCATAACAACATGATTCTTTGGGTCACTGCGCATAATTTGAGGAAAGTTTTGTCTGTCTGAGGTCCTTGTGACTTGACAAATATTTTGACTGGGGTGACTTAAAAGATAACAATGCTAACTTGTTAACTTGGCAGTTATCCTTGTAAAAAACCTGGGGAGAGGAAAATAATTAAATGGGATTAATCAATGCTGTATATCGATTTAAAAGGCAGAATGAAAATTGGATGTAATGGTGAAATTGTCATTAAACATGAATAAATGGCGGACTAATATATCATTGTTATCGCGCACAAAGAATAAATCAATGGAAGAGAAAGTCTTTCCAAACTTTAGTAGTTGCAAAAGAAAATATAATTAAAAAAAAACTTAGTTCCTGTTGTGTAGTTTATAACTTTTATATTCTAGAAAAAATATTAATAATAAATAAATAATTATAATAATAACAAAAAAATATATATTTATAAACAAAGTTTATATTATATAAGCATACTTATTTCTATAATTTTTAAAGTTATTCTTAGTGGATACTCATATTTGAATAGACGCGCCATTTATTAAACAATATATTAATCTATTTTCATCTACCGGCCTGAATATTCGAGATCTCGCAGTAAAGAAAAATGTGCGATATCCGGCTAGATACAATTCTGGGTTCCTCTAGACAGAAAGGAACCGTTGTTAGACGTGACTTAACCAACTCGGCCACGGAGACTTGCCACTCAAGCAAAGTTTAAAACGTCTCTTTAAGCGAAATACGTCTCGTATTTAATTTCCATGAAAATTATATATCTGCTCACTTTCTTATCCTACCGTAAACAAAGTAATTTTCTAAAGATTTCTATCACTTAAACCATAATTTCAGTGGATACTCATATTTGAATTATTATATATTATTTTACAGATATTTTTCAGGATATTTTAAGTAATTCATTCCAAGCATGGCAAAGAAGACAAAAAAAAATTCTTGAGCGTTAAAGAATACGAGGAAAATTCTAAGGACAGAGAAAAACAAAAGAATAGAAGGATACGATTATACTTTGAGAAAGTTTTGAACGAGTGCCAAAATGTTGTGCTGCAGTAATCAAGGCTAAAGGAGGATGTTTTGACGAGAGCAGAGTTTAATCATAAAATGCCTTTTTTTCTTTTTGCAATAGTAAAATTTCTAATAAAATCATGTCTCACATTTTTTTTAACCATGTATAAAAAATTCTTATTTAAATTACAAAACAACTACCGTAATTCTCCATGTATAATACGCCTTTATCCATAACACGCACCCGTATTGTACTGAAAGTTTGGTTAGGTTTGTTTTGTTTTACGGCATATCAACACCAATGGGTTATTTAATGCCAGCAATTTTTTTGCTGGTAATATTTCGTTTTGTCAAAAATCTATTTTTGGTAATATTTTTTCTTCAAAAACGTATTACTGGTAATAATTTTTTTACAAAGTATTTCTGGTATTAAACCCTATTTTTACGCTTTCATGGTGTTTTTACCACAGTTTCAGGGTTGACTATTTGCCCATACCTGGGACCCTAAAAGGTGCTACCACCCCGGGTCAGGGTGGACCTGTGAACACCAGCAATTATACGCTCCTCAAAACCTCCTGATCAGAGGCCTTACTATTGAACGTAGTTTATCGTCTTACCCAGGACACTGTTCTGAAAGTGTGAGAAGATAATTCTGTTCACGCATAATACGCACCTCTTGCTTGGTAATCAAATCCTATAAATTGTACCTGTCTAGTTTCATTACGGCCAACGTTTCCTACTCTTATTTTAAGAAAATGGTGTTAAAAATAGCATAATATCATTCTAATTTAGTTTTATAATAATTCTTATTTTATTTTATATTTGTAAGAATTGTTAGGTACATATGATTATATTTGACATCCTTATGGGGTCGCAATCGCCGAATATTAATGTCAAATTGTCGTATGTTTGTGGTGAGTAGTCATTTCGCAACTGAAATCGACCTATGAAACGGCAATTTTTAAAAGATATTTTTGTAGCTGTGCATAATACGCACCCTTAATTTTCTTTATTATTATTTTAGAAGAAAAAAATGCGTGTTACACATGGGGAATTACAGTATTTTGGGGGTCAATTTAAAAAAACTACCAGAGGTGGCCTCAAACGTTTTAAATGTAGTGCATTTGTGTGCGTGTGTGTATGTGTGTGTGTGTGTAGTAAAAATATCTACACATTTGTAAAACAATTTTCTTGAAAATTCTTTTTCGTTTTATCGTTCGTCGAAGAAGGATACAAACCTATCACAAATTCCGATTTTTATCATTTCTAACAGAATTTTAATTTTTCCAATGGAATAATTGTTGTGGATTCCGGGGATGGAATCCTGCACAGATAAATAAACAACGACAGTAATTGACATAGAAAAATATGTGCATTAAACGTTGGAATACAAACTTGAAATGAAGATTAGTAGTCCAGGAATGCGGGTTAACAGAAAAGTATATGTACAAGTCTCTATAAGTGAAGCCGTAATTATCTCTCTTTCTGGACTCTCGTATAACTCTGAGTGAACACCATGTCTCGACGTTTTTGTGATGCTATTTCTCCGTAGTATAAGTATACTTTGGACGAGTCCCTCTTGTGTACAAGGGGCGAGCCCCACAATAATAATAATAATAATAATAATCATTGGGGCGTTGTGGTCCATATCACCGAACCTACAGAAAATCGAAAATAAATCTTACTATCGCATCGCATCAGAGGATTTGGATCTACAGATACTCTGCGGAAAGTACCACATCTGTATGAGGTCGTACGACTTGATCGAGAACACAAATAATGATAATGTTAACGGTAGCCCCCACTGTCAAGGGGAACCCAAAATATTCCTTTAATATGACTTCTTGTACATTAAGGCCGGTAGCCGAAAATAAATAAATAAATATACTGCTTAATAAATAAACGGAATGCCTACTCAAATAGGAGTATCCATTAAAAATAACGTTTAATGTGGTAACATATACAGGGTACGATAAATAAATTATCACTATTTTATATTTTGAATTTCGCGCATGAGCGTTGTTTGTTTTTAAATTTGTCAACTACACAGCACAGAAGGGTCAGTTGGGCATCGTCTGTGTGTAAAAGAGCTCTATGATGCAATTCACTCCGCCAGAGATTTGGAAACGGCATGTTGTACTTCTTGGCATTCGCCCCAATATGAAAATTTCAGAGTGAATGGGTGTCAAGCTGAGGTCAGTGCAGAGGATTTGAAAGGAGTTGGATGCGTCTAATGGTTGGTGACGAAGGTACAGCAGCTCGGAAAACTCACTCTGATCATTCTGATGAGAAAAGAACTCCCGAATTTGTTGGTGAGATCCTGGGCATGAGTGAAAACGACCCATCCGAGTCAATCAGGTCCATTATCAATAAGGTAGTGGTTACCTGGGTCAAGAGGGTGGCTGCTACATTTTTCACCTATTAAAATGGATACATGGGATTTATTTCTATTACATCGATTTTTTCTGTTTTCTATGCATATTTAGTTATTATGCATCTGTGTGCATTTAATTATATGAAAACAATGTTTATTCATTAGTGGGAAATTAAAAAAATTGGATGTGTACGAATATTTGTTTCCCCCATTGTGTGTGTGTATATATATATATATATATATATATATATATATATATATATATATATATATAAATAGGTTACGTTAAGATTCCATGTAATAAGCTATTTCACCATGGTGAAATAGCTTATTACATGGAATCTAACGTGGTCCGTTTTTTTATTCAAACATATCTGCTCTGAATTTTTACATTGAGCTCTCTGGATATCATCCTCCTCGGGTCTACCCATACGGATTACCTAAGTTTGCATAAACTATATATATATATATATATATATATATATATATATATATATACTTCATATCACATGGCAGTCCAATGTCTCAGATACAGAAGTATTAGAGAAAGCAGTGCTACCAAGCATTCAGTTGATGGTAATGAAAAATTGTCTCCGATGGGTCGGTCACATTGCGCGTATGGATGACAGTCGTCTACCAAAACGGCTGTTCTATGGTGAAATGTGGGAAGGAATGAGAAATCCATCAAAGCCGAAGAAGAGATTTAAGGACACAATAAAATCTTATCTGATACAATCTGGACTATCTGTTGACCAATGGGAAAAAGTGGCGGAAACTAGTTCACGAAGGCATTGAGTCCTTTGAGAATAGCCGTATGCAGGACAGTGCCTACAAACGTCTGATTCGTAAAGGCGAACAGGGTCCAGCAACGGGTCCACAAATTCACTACGTTAATTGTGACATATGCGGAAAATTGTGCTTATCATTTGCCGGTTTCAAAAGCCATTGGCGTAAATGTGCAAAACCAAGTGTGCACCCGAATAATGTCACTGTAAACAAAACTGATCGGGTATGCCAATTCTGTGGCAAAATTTGTCGCAGTTTGGCTGGCCTGAAGAGTCACCTGCGAATACATGGAATTTTAAGTTGATGGGAGGGGGTGAGGACATGAAATAAAGAAGGTGGTCACGCTCGAAACCGAGAGGACAGCCACGACGATATATATATATATATATATAGTATAAAAAGAATCATGCAGACATATACACACGTATCCACAAACAGCGAAGGTATTTCTTGTGTAGATTATAATTTTATTTCATTTTTTTTTTGTCTCTTCGAATTTTCTGCAAAGGTTACTTGAAAGGTTAGGTAATTTTAAACACATTTCATGGGAAATTTCACAAGTTCTTTCCCTATCGTTGTCCATCTTTGATACAGTAGGATGTTCCCCACCCCGAGTAAATATCATATCTTGTTTCTAAATGCTTCATTAGTGCTATCTGCATATGTCAACAAGAACACCCGTCGTTACCCGGTACTCAAGAAAATTAAAATAATTGACAATAACTTTCATCATTAAAACACATGTTAAAGAAGCTTGGAATAGAGACCAAGTGACAGCCATGTTACTATATCTATCTGAGTCTATTCAGTATCTATCTATCTATCTATCTATCTATCTATCTATCTATTAGTCAGTTTCTATCTATCTATCTATCTATCTAATTCTATACAGTATCTATCTATCTATCTATCTATCATTTGGTGTCTATTCATTATATTGGTTTCTATGTAACTATCTATCTATCTGAGTCTATACAGCATCTATCTATTAGTCAGTTTCTACCTATCTATCTATCTATCTATCTATCTATCTGCCAGTTTCTTTCTATCTATCTATCTATCTATCTATTTATCTATCATTTGGAGTCTATTCATTATATTGCTATCTATGTAACTATCTATGTAACTATCTATCTGAGTTTAATCAGTATCTATCTATCTATCTATCTATCTGAGTCTATGTACCTATCTATCTGTGTCTATTCAGTATCTATCTATCTATCTATCTATCTATCTGAGTCTATGTACCTATCTATCTGTGTCTATTCAGTATCTATCTATCTATCTATCTATCTATCTATCTGAGTCTATGTACCTATCTATCTGTGTCTATTCAGTATCTATCTATCTATCTATCTATCTATCTGAATCTATGTACCTATCTATCTGAGTCTATTCAGTATCTATCTATCTATCTATCTATCTATCTATCTATCTGCCGCTATTCCGTCCAACGATGTTCTGAAGAACGAAACGTATCACACGAATACTTTTCCCCGTAATATTGTTCTTGATATGTAAAGAATTATATTACTAGACTTGTGATAATTTATTTTTTTGTTTTCGCTGGATTTCGCTATCATGTTATATACAAAATAATTAGGATACAGGAAGATGGCTTTTATGTGGCACTCACTGAGGACATAGGAATAGTCTATAAGCAATTTCAATTATATTTCTCTTCACCCTGTAAGTATTGAGGGCTACTGATTTTGAGTTCGCGTTCAAAGAAACCCTTAATTGGTACGGATTTAGTTTTATTTTTGTAGTGTGAATAGAAGTTTATAAGATCATTTATTTTTTTATAGAAATATTCTATAAGGACCGAGAGCCACACAAACTAGAGGGTTATTATGTAGTGTGGTGTATAGTTGGTTACTCGTATTCGAGGATACCCGTCTACTAGACGGCTAGCCAATCCCTATTGCATACGCTTTCTCAGGCGCATCTGTGACCCACAAAACTAGCTCACCTGTGACTTATACTGCAACTATGCAGACCTTAGTTACAGTTTCTGAGACAGAGTGTGTTATCTAGCGTGATCAACAATTTGAACAATGCTAGCACGTTCAAGCGATGACTTGTGACTTCGTGGTAACACAGCTATCCACGGCCCCAAAGTGTTCCGTCTACCAATTTACAAGGGTCAGCACATGGTATGGTTTTCAGCAAAGGTGCCGAAATGTGGGATCGACCTATTCAGTCTGATAACACCAGGAAGTCTCCTTCCTGATAAATTGACCATGAGGAGATTCGAACCCGTGTCTCATGATCAGAATGCGAACGTTCTAACCACTCGGCCACGTGCTCATATTGTAGTGTTGAATGAACGTAAGGGAAAACAATAAATTCTATCTATCTATCTATCTATCTATCTATCATTTGGGGTCTATTCATTATATTGCTATCTATGTAACTATCTATCTTAGTCTAATTAGTATCTATCTATCTATCTATCTATCTATCTATCTATCTATCTATCTGAGTCTATGTAACTATCTATCTGAGTCTATAAATTACTAGTTAATTAGTTAGTGTTGTGTAGTTTATTTAAAGGAAAATCCTTTGCGTGAGAGTGAAAGAATTTAAGTTACACCGGTTGTGGTTGTAGGTACAAATCCTAACCTTAAATTTTGAAGAGGTTGAGATTATAGTGACTGTGGAAAAGTCCACAAAACAGCAGTTCTTGATAAGCTTTAAGAATGGAATTTACTTCTTATTATAGTAATACAAAGAGACTGGGGAGAGTTCACCCTTGTTTATGCGTCAATGTGGGTCCCAGTTTTAACGGTTTGTGGCGGTGGGTCTGAGGAATATAATTCGTCAGAAGACATGCCATGGAAGCAGCCACTACAACAGCGAGAGGCTCAAAATATTTCATCTTTGGGAAAGCTGTTGTAAGGTAGGTAATAATTCATCACACACAAGGCCACGTATACGTTTTTAAACGCTATCAAGACAGGCATGTGAGGACCAGGCAGCCCAGATATAGCAGCAATACGCCATTTATGGACAAATCTGGCTCTTGTAAACATAGAGTATAGAAAACAAACGTGAGATATCAGAAGTGGTCTATGCCACATCCGGTTGATAATATGAATGTGCGTGTGCTTCTGTACATCTGAGCGTCTAGTGGGCATTTTAATATATATCTGTTCATATGTTAATCGGGGATCCTTTGCGTCAGAGTGAAAGAATTTAAGTTACACCGTTGTGGTTGTAGATACACAGATTTTAGATTCTTTAAGTATGGATTTTACAAAAGATGATAATAAAATAAAGTGTGTTTCACTTGTGTTCATAGATTTTTTTAAGCAATACATCCAAGACAGGCGGAAGTGCCACTGGTGTCAAAGGGCCTACAGAGTCAGTAAGTAAGGGAAAAGACTGGGTATAGGGTGGGGTGAGGAAAGGATAAAACAACGGAGGATAACAGAAGAACTGGGATCAAGGCAACAGAAGATGTCGTTTGACAGTACATTTAATTATTTTGAAGAATTATAGTTATCGGGGAAGAAAGTAAGAGGAAGGGAGTTCCACTGTCGGGAAGTGCGAGAGAAGCGGTTGGAGTAGAAGAGATGGTTACATTTAATTGTTTTGACAGCAAAACGGTGTGATCGAGAGGCTAACCGAATAGCGCTCTTAAATTCATGTAATTAGGGCATCAGTGAAAATAGCTCGGCAAAACAGATGCCATGAAAATATTTCTAGAAAAGACAGAGGGAAGCCAAAGTACTTCGTGACGGGAGTCGAGAGCCCAACTCAGAAAATATTATCAGAACTCCATGTAAGTATTTTACACGTAATAAATTTTATTATTTTCTAGTTAGAGTAGGATTTATAAAGCCGGATTCGTAGCCGGTTTTTCTTACAATAATACTTAAAGGTTTGTCCTAATCGGTAGATAGGATAAATACACGTTAGATCTTCATCAATAAAAAACAAATTAAAAAAATACACACACACAAAATAAAAATAACAGAATTTTCTTTTCTTCTTCATATTTAATATTCTGATGAAGTTATAATAAAAAAAAGCGAAACATGTTAAATTTATAAACGTTATATGTCCCTTATAAAATCATGTATGTATATATATATATATATATATATATATATATATTATAAATTAATTGATTTAAAATATGGTTTGAGCACAAAAATATCTATAAAATCACCGGATTATATATCTTACTGATCTTTCTTTATATATATATATATATATATATATATATATATATATATATATATATATACGTTTGTCCGTATACGCACCTGCTTATATGTATGTATGCATATATCCATGTGCGTATCTGTGTGTATGTCTATCCGACTGTATATTTTTATATATATCTGTATATATGTTTAGGTGTATGCATATGTACGACTGTATATGTTGATGAGTATTGATATGTCCCGGAACGGGATACATTTGAACGAAGTGGCTAAGCGGTTTTGGCTACTATTACCAAGTAGAATACGGTAGCAGTAATCGACTGGTACGCGTCGTAGTCGCAGGTAATAAGCGTAGATCAATGGCGTAGTCCAATGGGCGTCGTTATAGACTTAGCTCTCAGACTAAGGCTCTTTGACTCTCCTACACGTCCGTCGGTATTTATGACGGACACCAGCCAATTATATTCCAGTGAGGGGGAACACAGGTGTATGCATATTCTATTATATCACATATGTAACTGGAAGAGAAAATAATGATATAATGAAGATGTTGACATGCTACACTAAAAAGGAGACCCCCATTAATACTGGACAGCTACTGGATTTGATCGAATGAATAAATGTTGGTTTCATCCAGGACAATCCTTCTTCGTACCTTGTGGACTGGCGCTACAGAATCACAAACAAAGAACTGTACCAAATATCAGAAACCATATGACTTGAAAACTACCAACAGCAGTAACAACTAAAATGGATAGCAAATTGATATCTCCCGGAAAGGGATATATTTGAATGAAGTAGCTAAGTGGTTTTGGCCATTATAACCAAGTAGAATATGGTAGCAGTAATCGACTGGTACGCGCCGTAGTCGCAGGTAAGAAGTGTAGATCAATGGCGTAGTCCAATGAGCGTCGTTATAGACTTAGCTCTCAGACTAAGGCTCTTTGACTCTCCTACACGTCCGTCTGTATTTATGACGGACACCAACCAATTATATTCCAATGAGGGTGAACACAGGTGTACGCGTATTCCATTATATCAAGTATGTATATGTTTTTGTTTCTGTGAATGACTCTTTTATGTTTGTGTGTGTTTTTCTTTATACGTGTGTGTGTGTGTGTGTGTGTGTGTGTGTGTGTGTGAGAGAGTTTGTGCGTCGTGTATGTGGGCGTTCAGACAAACCAATTTCCTTGTTGTTGCTAATTCTAACATCGTCGGCGTTAGCCTTGTCCCGCTCAATGATACTTAAGCCGTCAGTAGAGTTTTGAAAACAATAGGAAAATAAAACTTAATCAAATACAGGACACACACACAAACACACACACACACACAAAAAAAACGAAATCAAAAGCAAGAAAAACGAGCAGCCTGAAACATTATCTGGTAACCAACGTGTGTCAGCTGAAACTTAATTGGTTTAAGTAAGCCGTCACTTCAGACAAAGGTCTGAGCCGCGTATCAATTTAACGCTGTTTGCTGTCCTAATTGATCGATAGCGTAGTTCTAATATATATATATATATATATATATATATATATATATATATATACCTCACAGAATTGGCATAAAAGTTGAGTGGCACGGATCATCCGGTAAAGTGAAAAAAAAATGCGAAACGACAACAAATTGCGTCAATTGAAGCTCGTACGTTTTATAGGCTTAAAAAAATAACATTTGAAAAGTTTATTTCGAAACAAACGTATCCAAATCTAAAAAGTAAATTTACGAGGTTGGGGACTGAAAAGTTCATAGGCTGAGTATGCTGACATCCTGCAAGCATTAATTCCAATCAAATTTTTTTCAGTTTTCAAGAGAAGTCGATAGTAGTTGCATTCGAAGTCTTTATTGAACTGTCAGATGTCAGTTTACCTGGAAATAAACAATGCAGTTATTAATAAGAGGAGTCAACCTTAATGCATGCAAGATTTCACAACTCTTGCCTCACTCCTTCAGATTGAGTCCGTGATGTTTCCAGTCCACTCTCGTACACAATTTGTTTTCATTTACGAATAACGAGCTCTATTCTCGACAATCGATTTGATCGAAGTGCTTTTTCACGGTCTCGCATAATAATGAAAGCTGCCTTAGGAAAGTTCATCCTCACTTGGCATAGAGAGATAAGCGACGGCAGCGAGCCATTTACCTTACGATCTTGTGCGAATAAATAACATACCCGGGACGGATGACATGCCGGGTGTCTCCACTATTTTTGATAACCTCATATAGCCAAATTCTGAAGTTTCCCATTATCTGACTCGTCATTTGCAGCCATATTTCTGTGAAATGTTTAGCATATAAAAAAGCTTTCAAGTCGTCCATATTGTTGGCCAATATTTGTAGATTACAGCTTTCAGTTACCCCCTGAGAAAATCGGCGTGAGGTGTGTTCACTTCGCATTAATGCCCTCAGGAAAAGTAATAATCGAGCTTTTCTCCCGCACAGCTATGGGTTAAGTAACAGAATATTTGCTTGTTTGTTTTTTGTTTTTTTTTCATCAACCTCAATGGGTTATTTAATGCCGACAAGTTTTTTTATTGCTGGTTATATCTATCTATCTATCTATCTATCTATCTATCTATCTATCTATCTCAGTATATATTGATTTGGTTTGTTTTGTTTTACGGCATATCAACCTCAATGGGTTATTTAATACCGACAAGATTTTTATTGCTGGTTATATCTATCTATCTATCTATCTATCTATCTATCTATCTATCTATCTCAGTATATATTGATTTGGTTTGTTTTGTTCTACGGCATATCAATCTCAATGGGTTATTTTATGCCGACAAGATTGTTATTGCTGGTTATATCTATCTATCTATCTATCTATCTATCTATCTATCTATCTATCTATCTATCTATCTCAGTATATATTGATTTGGTTTGTTTTGTTTTACGGCATATCAACCTCAGTGGGTTATTTAATGCCGACAAGATTTTTATTACTGGTTATATCTATCTATCTATCTATCTATCTATCTATCTATCTATCTATCTATCTATCTCAGTATATATTAGTTTGGTTTTATTTTGTTTTACGGCATATCAACCTCAATGGGTTATTTAATGCCGACAAAATTTTTATTGCTATTAATATTTTTGTTAAAAACATATGCAGTTGGTATTCTTATGTTGTTAAGATTGTGGCCGCCAATGATGAATCCCGGTAGGATTTCCAATTCTCTCAGAATTGCCTCGCTGTCCGGGTTGAATAAGTCCGGCTTTGGTACTTAGACTTTACGAAATTATACGCCGTTCGAGAGTGGCAGTAATATCTCATCATTTTATTGATGAAATGTTTAGATGTAACCGTAAGTTCTATGCTAACAGTTTCTTCACTGTTTTCGCTTGTGGCACTCTTGTTCCGCTTCTTACTTCCCAGTTAGAGTTGATACTGAAAAATTTAAATCCAATGTCAATCGATAACGATTGACATTGGATTTAAATTTTTCAGTATCAACTCTATCTTCCTATTTCGCATGACTTATTGTTCTTTCTCGTTAATAATGTTTTTTTCTTTTTCTTTTACTCATATTTTTCACCCTCAGTAACCACTTGCATCTCATTCGGTTATTTTGCCTTGCTTGGGGTGAATAAAAAATTCATATTTTTTCATGTGGAATGTAATTTCCAAATATTACGAAACGTTTACTTTTGACAAGAAAAATATGGAAATTAATTAAAATTAAAAACAACAACACAAACCCCCCAAAATTTAAAAAATTCAAAGAACAAAAACAAATAAAAAGGAACTATAAAAGCCTTTTTACGCAACACCAATCATATTTACCAAATCTAACATTTTTAAGGAAGGAAGATATTTTTGTAAATTTATATTCTTGGAGTAAATTGTTATAACGCAATATTATTAATATGTTTTAATATTATTTTTAATATTATTTTTAATATCATTTTTTATATTATTTTCATCTAATATATTATATTTCTAAAGTGATGTACTATCATATAATTTGCGTGTTCGTTCCTTGCTACGCCCCTTGCCCACTGCCACTACTCCAGATAAATAATGGACATTTACATTTGGTTGAGAGGAAATACGGAAAGAAAACTGTATCGAAGACGAGGTAAGGTGGTAGTGAGTGAACGAGCAAAAGAAAGAAAGAAACAAAAAATAGAAAGAAAGAAACACAATAGAAAGAAAGAAAAAGAAATAAAAAAAGAAAAAAAGAAAAAGAAAAGAAGCATGAAAGAAAGAAATACAAATAGAAAGGAAGAAAAAAGAAAGTAAAATATAGGAGAAAAGAAAGAAAAAGAAAGAAAGAAAAAGAAAGAAAGAAAAATAAAAAGAATGAAAAAGAAAAAGAACGAAAAATAGAATGAAAGAAAAAGAGAAAGAAAGTAAAAAGAAAGAAAAAGAAAAAGAAAAGAAAGAAAAACGAAAGAAAATAGAAAGACAGAAAAATAGAACGAATAAAAGAAAGAAAATAACGAAAAACAAATAAAATAGAAAGAAGGGAATATAAGGAAAAAAGTAAAAAGGAAGAATATGACAAGAAAGAAAGAAAGAAAGAAAGAAAGAAAGAAAGAAAGAAAGAAACATAGCAAGAAAGAATAAAAGAAAGAAAAAAGAATGAAAGAAAACAGAAAGAAAGAAAGAAAGTATAACAAAAAAGGTAGAGAAGGCAATAACGCTCACAAGTTTCAATTAAATGGCATGTCTTTTTCAATATTGAATACTAGCAGTAGAGCCCGGCGTTGCCCGGGGATATAACAGTAAGAGATAGATCAAGTATCCACCATCATAAAGACTGAAAAATAAAATTGACAAAGATTATTGTTTAAGGTTGACGGACACGCATGTCTTAATTAGTTTCTTTGTTTTGTTTTTTTTTTTTTACGAATTGGTCAAACCCAAACTCAAACAAAAACATTGTTTTCAATCGTTATGAGCCTACCGATTGAATAGAATTTTATTATAATCAGTTGTATTGTAAATAGAATTTTTAAAGCATTCTGAATGTAAAAATAAAGAAAAAAGTGTGCAAGACAATAAGAAACACTACCTGCCAAAAAAAAAGTGAAGTTTTATTGAAATCGGTTGAAAAATGTAGGAAATCCGATCCCATATATAAATGAACACACACACACACACACACACACACACACACACACACACACACACACAAACAACCTGGGTTTTATAATAAGTATAACTCGATATGAGTTGTTCCCCTTTCATTCTCGCCATGCCTCTTAATCGTGTTTTCAAATTGATTTCGTGCAAAAACAATTGTGTTTTTCCAATTTTTGGCGATGTCAGAACCACCGCAAGGTAATTTTACATAGTCCTGTGAAGTTTTGTTGAAATCGGTTGAAAAATGTAGGAAATCCGATCTAATATATAAACATACAGACACACACACACAACCTGCGTTTTATAATAAGTATGATTTTACTTTGTAACCTTTCATTTATAATAATGATTTTTATTGCAGTATTGCTTTAAAGCTGTTGAGCTCAAATGTTTAACCTCCTCTGCCTGACCTCAAACTCAGATAAAATATAAGGTTATACGAATATTTACGATAGAAAGACATCCATATGCTATGAAAAGAGTCCCTACAAGACCTCTCATTGGATTGTGAACGCTTACTTCTTTGGTACAATGAAGGGATATTACGATCCACAAAAAGGGGTCAGATTTAAAAGAAACGAACCTTGCCCGAAGTTATATCACTTTTTGATTCCCCAATCTTACATCGAAAACTCCTCCCCACAAATTCGATTCGTTTATATTATTATAGGGCGAGAAAATTATCACGACTCATCGTCAAACAAGATTATGGCTCTTCACAGCTACCTCTAAGCAGTCATCTGTATACAACTGCTTTCTAATATCAATAGTTAAAATGGCTATGAGTGAGGGAAGTCTGTGGGTCTTGGCTAAGACAATCCTTCTTCGAACCATGTTGATTGGTGCTACAGAATCTAAAAGAAACCGTAGCGGATAACAGAAGTCACATCATCTGAGGACTTTCAAAAGCAGAAACAACTAAATTCACGTGTAACTCGAATAGAAATTAATGTCAAAATCAAAGTGTTGATGTTCCCCACTACTTAAAACAAAAAGCTAGGAAGGAAATTCCCGTCAATACCAGAAAGGGAGATAAAAGCTACTGGACTTGAGAAACGTATTTATCTGAAAAATTGTTTTAAGAGAAAGGTTTTATAAAATTCAGTTGGCAGTAGACGTGGCTGCTCGAGCAAGGAAAGAATATTATAAGGAAACGGTTAATACAGTAGAATCCCTCATATCTGGAATCCCTCATATCCGGAATCCCTCATATCCGGAGTGCCTCATATCCGGAATCCCACATAACCGAACATGATTTTAATGTGTATATTTGAACTATTTGGGTGATATGTAACTGATTTGAAATTTCTGTTTTTTCAGGAAATTTACTTTGGATAATTGCTTATGCTTATTTCACCCACCCTGGTGGCTTCTATTGGTGCAAAAGATGATGGGAATAAGAGGAAAGGATGACAATGAGACACATCTGCAACAAGATAGCGACAAGATGCATGACTGTGATGGAACCTGGACTGAAATTGAAAAAGCTATTGAAAAGGTTGCCAGTTTTATGGAAAGAAAGCCAGCAGTCATCTATGACGATTGCAATAACGCATGGAAAGTTAAAAAGTGTCTCTCGTTTAAAAATAATTCAAGAACAAAAGCTAAACGAAATGCGGAAAAAGTTGCGAATGACATTAGAAGAGAAAGAATCATCATGCAACAGCGATTAAAAAATCTTTGTTACATTATTTGTTTTGCATATGTGGCATACTTAATTTAATGAATTTTCATTAACATTACATAATTTAATTCTTTTTCCCTTAAAATCAATTCCGTTATATTTCACTCATCATTAGCTTATTTTTTTTTACTATAAAACATTGAAAATATATGTTAAGCCTGATTTCAGTTCTTTTATTTTAATCATATGTAACCTCTTATATCCGGACTTTGTAACTAATTCCTCATATCCGGAAGGCCTTCTTAGTCCGGTTGTCAAGGATTCTGTTGTATTACCATTATCATCATGTACGAATGGCTATGACTTCTTAGAAACTTTAATGGAATAATTCCCTATTGCATTCACGACGATTTTGAATTCAAATATGTCCTTTACCTAAAAAGAGATAAATTAAAAAAAATGATTTACTCCTGAATGTATCGCAAGTCAGGAGGCATGTACTGTAAAACCTATTCTAACCGAATGTAGCAATCTTACCCCTAAACATCAATGGTTTTATGACATGACTAGTCGGTCCTTTTCAAGAAGATGAAAGTCGGGTGGAGGCTTGTCTATACTATAAGTTATAGTTCTAATTCTATTCGAAAGGCATACCTGGAGAGAGATGGAATCAACGATCGAAAGGATTTTTACAAGCTATATAGTTAAAAACAAATCGGCATGAAATGACTAGACAGAATTAATTGACGCTGAAACGGAACAATCAATACATCAATCTTGGGTGGTTATCAACCAAGGATCGAAAACCTAGTCAACCCTCAATGTAGCAATAGAAGTGTCAGGTACATGCCTTTCCTAAGAGCCATGAAAGTGAAAATGAAATCTACAATCGGGATTAGAACACAGCTCGTTGATACCATTTTGATGGATGTTACACCACTTGCATATCTCACGGGATAGGCCTCAGTGCTAAAATGCAACAAGTACTTTATCATTATCTCGATAATAATAGAAAATGAAGCGGTAATGTTGAAAATAAAACACTTTCTACGCCTTGTTAATTATACATTAAATCCAGCGAATAAATAAATAAAAAAATCTGTACTAGGAATTAATTTGAAATGTAAAAGAAAAAATACCTGCGGGTAGGTTTAGGAATTCGACAAAGAATTTCGAAAAAAAAAAGTCTATAAAAAAACTATTTAAAACGTTTTATTACTAAAACGCCATGAAACACAATAAAAAAGAAAATGTAAAGAAAGAGAGAATAGCGTTTTTTTAAAAACTTTTTTCTTATTT